TTGTGACTCCCAATTGTAGCTCACAATTTGGGAGTCACAGTTGGTCGTGGCGGTGGTTATGGTAGTTGTGGCGGTTTGGTTGATTTGTGACCTACAATTAGATACGTGACCTGAAAATTGTGACTGTGACTCACAATTGGATTTGTGACCTGAAAATTGTGACTATGAATCGTAAGTGTTGGTAGTGATCACAAATTATTTGGTTCACTGTGATCATTAGATTGGTTAATCTGTGATCAAACAAATAATATGTGACCAATGAAAAAGATATATTGTGACCGAAAAGTAATGTGTGACATAAAAAATTGCTAATCTGTGATCGATAATTTGATAATTTGTGACTTGTAATATTTGTGATTTGTGACCAATAAATAAATCGTGACTTATAAAATTTTCAAGTTGGGACGGATGAACAAACTATGACCTATAAATTTTTTGAATAGTGACCGTAAAATAACTTGTTACATAAAATTTCTGATTTGTGATAAAAAAAAAAAATAATAAGTGACGAATTAAATCGTTAATTTGTGACCAAATTATATAAATATGTGACTTAAATATATGTAATTACTAAAATAATTAACTAATTAATTAAATTATAAATAATTTTTAATAAAAATCTGATTTTTGAAATTTGAAACTTGTTTTCTTGTTTTCGAAATGTGCCATAATTAATCTCTTACTCATGAAATTTTCCCCTTATTTATTTTTTCCCTGCAAGTCTATTGTAATTTTATGGGCTAGCGTGTCCAATTATTTAAACTTACGTGCCAACTAGTATAAGATACAAGTTATAGCTTTCATATGTATTTCACTAATCACATATGAATTAAAGATCATAACCTTATATATAGCTTTCATATGTATTTCACTCATCATGAAATATAAATCTACAGGTTCCAATCTTTGAGCATATTTAAGCCCATACTTTATTTAGATGTCCAAAGGTCAATGACTTTAATTCTTTATTTGACCCCCTTAAATGAGCTTAACTTTAGGAAAGCCTTTATATACAATTAATTGTATATGTAGACCCACATGAGAAATTAAAACCTAACAAAAATAGCTTAGTTCAAGAACTTAATATTAAAGTTTGTGAGTTGATAAGAACAGTTGACTTTTTTGTTTTGCTTGTCTCAATTTTCACATGTAAAATGTGCAATTAGGACATAATTTTTGGAGATTTTTACTATTAAATTTATTATGTTTTTGTTGGGAAAAAAGAACGTTCAGGGAAGTTGTTGGATATTTACATAAATAGTGAACTGGGGGGGGGGGGTGGAATCAATACCTAAACGTTTGATCACCTTTGCAGTTAGATAAAATATATGATAGGAGGTATACCTTCGAAATTTTTCATAAGTTGAGACGACTTTGAATCTGATCTACCACAATCTCAACATGTTATAATTGTCCAAGTATCCATGTGCTAACAAAAATCCCCAGAGCGAGAATAAATTGGAAATCCAACATAATGAACAATTTATAGCCACCACCAGTTCAAATTAGAGAGAGTTTTTGGTTTGTCGCCTAAACCTATTGTGCTAAGTAATAATAAGTTTCTAAACTCTAAATATGGATTATATATTACTAGGTTTTCTCAGATTCTTAGGTTCTGAAGCAGATTAATCTTATTAATTAATTTTAGGTCAATTGTAATAATTAAGTGCCCTCGACAATTGAGCGTAGGACATAATATTTACAATCCCCACTCGGTTTAGATCCAACATCAATTCAAAATTTCAATTTTCAACTTTTGTTTGACCTGTTAGGTTGTCATTCACGAGGGTAGGTGTCATGAAGTTGTTATTCTAATATAATCAAAATAAGATAAATTAAAATTTATTTTTAATGTACCATTAGTTCACCTGGATTAATTAATATACTTTGTTGTCCGTCCAATATTAACATCTAGCAACGTGTTTAATGTAATCCATGTGATGAGAAATATCATATGATATAACAAAATCATTCTCCTAGGTCACTGTGAAAATATAATTCTAGGTTTATGTAAAAATATAATTCCTTCATCTCTCCCAACGGAGGAATTCATGTATCAACATTGCTAGATGAAATACATATCATCATCGATCGTTCACAAAGAATCATGTATTGGTCATTTCTCAATCTTCATCTTATTCTCAACACACCGGTATGATGTCGTTCTTTTTACCTCACACAAATTAACATTCAATGTCGTTAATGTATGTAGATCCTCATGTTAGAATTTATGATGACCTCAAATCAAAGACCAAAACACAATAATTTTACTGACACTAAAATAGTTATATATATAAAAGTTCTGTTGCAGATTATCAATGAATCGTTCATCTAACATTTCATCCATATGTCCATTAAAATGTATCTCCTGCGAGGGAATCTAATGATTTCCAATGATTAGGGTATGTAATAGTATCATCGAGACAAATTAAGAAGGCCATCTTTGCCCTTAGTTTAATGTATCTCCAATGAGGGTAGTGCCACTCCAATTAACCAATGAGAAAGCTGATGTGATAGCCTAGGCTACTAGTCTAGGTCTTAAGATATTAGAGTTAGTCTAGTTGCACACTTACTGTGTATATAATCCTTCATACCCCATCATATGGAGAGGGGTTCACACATAATAAATTATATGCGTGTCCCCAGGGGCGGAGCTACTTCAGGGCCAGTGCTGGCACCTGCCCGCACTAGGATTCCGGCAGCAGAAGACCTTGACGAAGGTGCCTGCACTGGGATCTTCAGGAGCTGAAGACCTTGAAGACGGGTTCGCAAAGGTCGTGCCTTTATAGCGACATTGATGTCCCACATCCATTCCTAGTCAAACCCGTATGCCACTTCATCTTCTTCATCACTTTTTTCCTCTACATCCACATTAGTTCAAACTTCAATAAACCGTCTGTGAAAATTGAAGGGCTAGCCGCAGGGAAGGTGAACTGGAAGAAGGTGATGGTTTGTTTTCCAATTTGGGCCCTTTTTTTTTTTGGTAGTGAGCTTTGTTTTGGGCCCATTTTTTTAATATTAGCCCAAATCCAATCCAAATGCCCATTACATTTTAGAACACAGAAATCAGAATTTCAAATGTCGTGAAATTGTGAATACGGACAATCCCCTTCTCGGCATTCCCATTCCAAAATGCAAACCCTTTTACCTTTACTCTTATTCTCTTAAATTCCGTCGTGCCCGTGGAGTGAATCATATTCCGTCCGATTGTCGATTGGGATCCAATTCTCTGGTGGTCTCACCCACTTGGATTGGGTATTTTTTTGAATTTTTCAGAATTTTTGTTTACTCCATGAGTTTATAAATCAAAGTAATATATGGGACGAATTTATATTTTAAGTTGAACCGATTTCGGTTGGTTTATTATTATTATATATAGTTTAAAATCTAGCAAGTTTACTTTTGAGTCTTTTGTTTTGTTTTTAAGTTTCTGTCTCGAGAGTGATATCACCATAGATAATTAGTTTTGGCTAATTTCAAATAGACAAGTTTTGGCCAAAAAAATCACTATAACGGATGACTAAAATTGTGCCCACACTCGACACGGTCTGTGGCTCCGCCCCTGCGTGTCCCCCTTCATGTAAGGAAGGTGTCAACAATTATATACATAATTAGTGTGCATGTAGCATTATTCAGGATATTATTATGCCACCCCTATTGCCTTGATCAACTAATAATCGGCGGAGTCATGCTCTCCAAGACGAAAATATGATTAGGGTAATTTCCATTACCACGTACACCTATAAAATGAGGAAGTTCATTTCCCACGGGACACAAGAAATCTCTTTATGAATTGCACTAAGCTATTGCCTATACCCTTCTTTGTACTCATAAAAAATAACATGAAATATTTAAATTAATTGTTGACTTTGTCATGAAATTTTAATCAACTTTTAATGTACACCGAACATGAATTATTTATAAAGAAAGTAACAATTTTTCAAACTAAATAATTCTTAATGTTGAAATTAACAAATGCTAGATATAAAATGATATTGCAGAAGGGTGGAAATTTCATATTGAAAACAAGATAGTATAATTGTGCAGCTTGGAGTTATTAATTTTTGATATTACAACACGTGGATCAAATGTTTGAATAAAATAAGAAAGCTTAGCTCAGCATTTTGGAATATTCTTCTTTTTTTTTTTCTTTTTTTTCTTTTTTTTTTTCTCAATGACGACAACAATTGACTTTTTCTCTATGGTTTGTCTTAATTTTCACATGTGAAATATTCTAGGACTAGGAGGCAATATATTTTGGAGGTTTATCCTGGAAGGCTACATGCAGGGAGGATTGAAAAGATTGCTGTTTCTTAGAAAATTATTTTTTAAATTTAAAATTTTATAATTACAAAAATTTAGTCCTTCGTAAAACCACCTTGTTGACACGTCTTTTAACATATTGGTGTACTTTATAATATTGAATTTTATGAGACATTATATTTTTTGTCGTTGGAAAAAAGAAAGTCCGGCAAAATTATTTAACATTATAAAAATCGAAACTTATTATGAAGAAAGTAAGATAATGACTATAATTTTTAAAAATACGACAGTAGCTATTATCGTGAAAAACATGAAAAATGAAAGATAATAACCTGTAAGATGTGATCATGGGATAGACCGAAAGATATACAAATCCCACATTTTTGTACCAATTTTTGTATAATACTGCTTCATATGTATTCACAACAAATCAAGAGCATATTGAGAAGGATGTAAATTCAGTGGAACTTCAAATTCATATTTTGTACAAAAAGGACCGAAATATAGAGGGTGTTTGGTACGGATTTTGAAAATTGATTTTTTAACCATTAGAGATAAAAATGAGTCCTACCTATGAGAGGAATTCAAAAGTTACGATTGAAATAGTGAAATAAGTGTAAAAAAATTGATTTTAATTGGCTTAAGATCCCCATCAAACACCCCCCATACTATGTTTCAACTAGTTTCGGCAACCCTATTAATTTGCATAATACACATAAAAAAGGAACCGGAACCCCTGAATCATTTTATTCCCTACATTACATGCTTATTTTTCGCATTTTACAAAAATATGTCCAATATCATGCATTTATTAAACCCGAAATTCTTACATATATATTTATCTCATCAGAGATGATCATTTGTCTATGTAGCATGTGACATGATAACATGATGATTATCTCTAACGAAGATAAATGACATTACATTCCATAATTCACAATCTGTCTTGTCTCTTGAAACAGGTCATTCACAAGTGCAGCTGAGAAAGAGTACTTCTTCCCTTGCCATCTTCATGCTTTGAAATAATTGAGAAGATTATTCTCATCAAGAGAACTAGTTAAAAACTTCATTACATAATCACTTAATAGTACTTCTTTGTATATGGGAGGATTTTCTTCTGATATCAACTCTTTAATGGGGCCATAAGAAATATTTTCCATGCCTAAAGGTCCCGAGAAAAAGCATGCCACAGAAATTCTTGGCCCCAGATGATCAGCAAGCACTCTATGGTTATTGCTTCTGAATTTTCCATTTGATACGAGCTTTACCAAAAGTAAACAAAGAAAACACTTGAGTAAATTAAATGAACTAACACCTAAAGCAAAATCATGTGATGTACATAGGAAAGATTTCACAGTGGTGACTAAATTTTGTTATTGTGAAACAAACTTGCATAAATGAACATTTAAAATAATAAAGTTAAATATTCAAGTCTAGATCAAGTTTTCCATATAACGCGCATAGATTTTTGTTAGTTATGATGAGGTAACTGAAACAAAAAATGAAACTTAGTCGACTAAGTTGTAAAAAAAATAGCTAGGTGACTTAACTAAAACTTCACTCTACGTATATACCTGGAGAAGATCCCCAATGTTAATTACTAGCCCTCCCGGAATGGGTTGAACGTCAACCCATTGGTTTTGGAAGAAAATCTGCAGGCCACTTTGATTTTGGAGAAGAATGGTGAGGAATCCAGCATCTGTGTGCTTTGGGATTCCCAGAGTCAGTTCTGGCTCAGGACATGCTGGATAATAGTGACCGTGAAGGCGGTGTCCTTTAGAGCAGTCCATGTTTCTTAGATGCCCAGGATCGAGTCCAAGAGCCACTGAAAAAATTTCAAATAGGATATTTCCCAATTTTTCTACATGTTTTGAGTACTCTACAGCAGCCTCCCTGTGAATAAAAGTTATAGACAGGTAAATCAATTTCCTTCTTGCATATAGCAAAATTAAGGGTACATTTGGTGGGAGGATTGGACAGCAGTAGATAGTATATAAGAAGAAAAAAATCTCAAGCCTATTTTATGCTGGAAAACAGCCTTCCTAAAGCTATGCATATCATAAGAATATTAGGGTGATTTAATAAATGGACTATCCAATATATCATAGAAATATTAGTCAATAATTTGCAGTCAAAACAATAAGTGAACAGTATATGATCAATCTCTATGCAACTCAACAGGAGTACCGGCACTGACGTGGCAAAATGTAAGTAGATTGTTTATTTATTTTTTTTATTTTTTCCAATCTTCCGATGATGTCATGCCATATGTTATCTGTAAAATTTTCAATTAAAAAATTATGTACTTGCAGCTTGATTCTAATAATAAATACCTGCATGAACCTGGAATTTCCTTGGGATCACTTTGATTAGGATCTGAAAATGAAATAGTCAATGTGTCCCTCCAGTTAGCAGTCGTAGATCTGAACAAATCATGATTGCTGATAAATCTCACCCTTCTCGTATTATCCCGCGTGTAGTATTTCTTTTTCTCCTGGACATCCTGCTCATTGAATTTCTGTATTCCATCAATCATTTCATCAAGAACGTTTAAGGGTATCCCATGATTCACCACCTGGAAAAATCCCCATGTTTCTGATGCAAGTCGTACTTCTTCTACAATCTGTTGACGCCGATCGGCTTTCTCCATGCCACCAAGATCGATTACAGGAACTTCAATTTGAGCCCTCTTGTGATTCAAATCTTTAGCCAGTTCTTCAGCTGGTCTTACAAAAATCTTGGGAAGTTTTTGCAATTCAGCATCGATTAATCCCTTTACACCAGCTTTTGTTTCATCAAAAGCCTTCAATTCTTGCATTCTGTCATATTCTTGAGCACCTGAGGTATCCATTTCTTCAGCTATTAGATGCAAATTTATGGGTGACTGGCCACTAAATGATTATTGTGCTATATATCAAGAAGATAACGACTTTCTAAAATATATAACTCTTGACTTTGAAACTAGATATATCTTATGACATTATATGATATTGTCTAAGGTATTGTACTTCAGCATTTTGGAATTAAAAATTCTTGATTTGTCTCAACTTACATATCATCATGTGCAAAATGCATTGAATTTGGATCCACTAAGTAGTGCTGAAGTTAGATTAGTTTTTCCTATAAATGCTTAACACGTGAAAGGTTTGAAATATTTTTTGATAAGATACACGTCAATGTTATTATGCCCCCGTTTGGACCTGTTAAATTTTATTACATTATATTTCATTTTTCTCCTTCCTATTTTTAACCACACAATATTTCATAAAATAATATTATACGTAAATCGAAAACTTTGTTTTTCTTTTTCAATCACTCATTTTTTTTAAAAACACTATTCTACCCATTTTCATTTTTCGAAAAATGAGGGCCAAACGGGGGCTATATACATCCAGTTTCTGATGTAATGTTTATTTTCATTATTTTATAATCACAATAATATTTCTATTTTTTTATTTTTTATTTTTGTATTTTTCCTAACAGTAATACCAACACACACTATAAGAAAATTGTGGAGCGATAACGAATAATACTCATTGTCTAGTCATACATAGTGAAAGATACCCTTTATGACAACGATTGTTGCACAATTGAATGCCGTAGCATTTGTATGGTGTAGCATACTCACACCAAATGAAGGGAAATTAGAACCAAGAGCCAAAAAAATGCCTCTTTTTTTGGATAATATAAATTACAGGTAAGAAATTTAAAAAATATTAAAATAGTAGTATTTTTCAAAATAATTCTCAATCTTAAAGATAGTAAATACAAGGAAGAGTAATTAGGATTAAGAAATTTAAATAAGTAACTTTTATCAAAATATTTCTCAATCTTGAGATTCACGTGTGGTAAAAATTACTAAATCAATCAATTTATGTTATTCACTGTGGTACTATAACGAATCTAAGTACAATATTTCATCTAATGAGAAACTGACACGTCAGGGAATTGTACCATATTCCATCACACCATTGATAGGAAATAATCACATTCTATTCCATCAATCAAGGCACTGAAAACACATTTGGCCATTGAACTTACGATACTGTTTTACTTTAGTCACATAACTCTTGTTATTTAACAATACTCACTGAACTTCTATTTTATTTTAATTTAGACATTCTATCTCGAATAGTCTTTCAAAACTGGATTTTGCTCAATTGCCAGAAAATGCTTGTCAAAAGGGGTGACCACCTCTCAAAATTGCTATGGGTCCCGCATGGATTAAAAAATGCCGACCTCTGTTCATGTGTATGTTCTATCAAACTGTATGTCGAGCCCCCTGTTGTTGTAGCTCGATCCTTCAAAACTAATGTAATTACTTTACTTATATGATTAAAGTGATGATGTGATATAAAAATTAGCTACTGAATAAGACCCAATTTCATTTTGATAAAAATAATAGTTTTTGATAAAAGTTAATAAAATATTTGATTGAAAAGTTGATAAAACTTGAAGCTTCCATAACGTATGGTTGAAATTAGTTTGGAGAACAATAAGATTTGAAAATGGGACCAAACACTGGATGAGCATCGTCGTTTGGAATACAAGTAATACTTTGTAAAAGTTTTTTTTTCAAAAGATTAGGCATGTTTACCAACTTAAATTGTAAAACTAATAAAAATATTGCTTGTACAGATAGATTTACAGGTGCTAAAGATAACAACACTTCATTGCTGGCTTAACTTCGTTTTTTGTCCAAAATCCAATGAACTCTTACCACTTGACATTTTGTAAAACAATCTGTCTTTATAGATCATACATGTCACATTTCTCTAAAACTAATGCATTATCGAACTTCATGTGTCACATCAATACACAATCATTTTTCTCATAAAAATGGACAATTCAATTATTTTTGAAACATGAAAATACGAAGATTACCCAATCTATAATGCATAATTAAATATGTTCGGGATCCAAAAACTTCACATATGAAGCTTGGAAGATATATAATGACAAAAATTGAAAGGTGGAGAGTCCAATCCTAATTTTTTCCAAAAAAGAAAAAAGAAAGTATCTAAGCATTTTTTTAGCAGAGTTACTTAAAAACTTGAGTTTAGCCAAAAAAAACCTTCTTCTAATTATTATCCTAGTCTTTAATCTGAGTCGAAAAATGCATTTTTGGCTGTCAATAATCTTGGAAGTTTTTTGATATGTTCAATTGAATAAAATAACAATAATCGTTTTACATGCTTATTTTATTAATCTAGTGTAACCTATCATGAAAAAGTTCAGCAATTACACTATTGAATGAATAAATAAACTTCGTGAACCTCGTCCTCTACTTGGAAGCGTAAATCTAACACAAAGTATAGAAAAGACTCGCACAAAGCATAGGGAGGTTATTCCCCTATCTTGCTTGGTTAAAAACCTTATTAAAGTGAACGTGGACAAGTGTTTAAAGTGTGACTTCAATGCTAATAAAACATAATAATATAAAAAATCAGTTATAAATCAACCAATAAGAGGTTGCCATCAGTCATTTTTTTCTTCCAAATGAAAATTGTCCCAAAAGCCTTGTGGAAAATCTATAAATATTCCCACCTAAAAGAAGGAAACCATGCACAATTCAAATATCTCTCTCTCAAGTTGCCATTTTTCCTCTTAGTCTAGTTTGATCACCAAAATCACTGGGTTTAGATGCGAAAATCCTAGCTAGGTGAGAAGAATTTATTAGTCTAATTTTTATTATTAATAAATTGGCACAGCTTGTGGGAATCGTAAAAAAAAGAAAACCACAAAATTCTCTACTATAACTAAGAAATCCTTGAAATCCAAGGAGATGAGAAAAATAGAGGTAAATCTAAAAGAAATAAAAGGCAACATGAGGAAACTTTAGCAGAAATACAAGTCGGCATCTCTCCCATATAGCATAACTGCTTGCAGAAGAAAATGTCCCCAGCTATAACCATAAGAAATGGCGGAGAGCCTCCAGGCATTGACAGTAGAAAGTGCATCTTGGCAAGCAAAGATTGAGAACATAAAGGCTAGTGTTGACCTCGGAAATTGGACCATTCACGTGGCCAACCGACAGCTACTCCACGTATTCCTTCCTGCGCACAATCAACGCACGATCAAATGTACACGGTCGGAACCAGCGGGGGTGACGACAGTCGTATACTCTCCGATGGTCAAGTTAGGTTCAGGTGATCAGAACAGTACTAAGGTTGTGCAAAATAGTTGGGAGGAGAGTATATATTTGCTTGTTATGGAGTGCTAAGTATAAAGAGTTTCATTACTTTGCCTCTTGCCAAGCCTTAGGTATTTATAGGTGAGGAGGGCCGTTGGGTGTGAGACACGTGTATACATCTGAACGGTATGAAGCGTCTGCTCATAGACGTCAATCAGCCACGTCTATAGAGTGGGTAGGTGGTTACTTCTCCCGAGTTGAGTTGACATAAAGTTGATAGGTCACATCAGTTAGCCTCATGGAGACGTCAAATCACTTTAAACCTTAGGGGTAAAAAAGATCATGACAAAGATCTCATTCAGAAATCGGCGGCGGATCCTTAGGCCGAGGTCCAAAGGGATCATTTCACCTCGGATTCACTTCGGTCAGTTTCGTAAAATTGCCTATGCCCCGTAGTATGATAGCAGATCATCTCAATTGTAACCACTTCGTATAAGCGTTCCACACTTCGGCTGACATGGTGGTGTACTTCCGGAAGTGGAACCACTTCATATGAGAACACTTCGTATGAGCGTTTCACACCTCGGCTGATGTGGGTTCAGTTAGGGGCATAACAGTAGTCCCCCAAGTCCAGGTATGAATATTTATATCATGGGTGGACTTGTATTCCCGATCGGGTATATGTGCCTCGGGATGGGGATCGTGATTTGTGAGCACTTGAGGGTCGATTTCCTGTGTTCACCGAAGGGTAGATCATAGGCAGATGCGCTAAATCTTTGTCACTGTGTGAGGGAAAAAATTTACGCGAGGTCGAGGTGATGACGAGCTAGATGATGCTTGGGGAGATTGTCAATGTAGTGACCGAGGTGATGACCAACAGGGAACTCCGCGTCAAGCGCGCCTAAACTTTGTAAAGTTGAGTGACGAGCTCATTGGCTATCGATGCGCTGACCCACATGGGACGACACATTGGGAGATTGCTAAAACTTTGTAAAGTTTAGGAGGGAGCGCAGCGACCAAGGCGATTACCCACAAGGGACTCCGCGTTAGGTACGCCTAAGCTTTGTAAAGTTGAGTGAGGAGCTCATCTGCCACCGGTTTGCTGACCTACAGGGGACGACGAGTTGGGAGATGGCTAAACATTGTAAAGCTTAGGAGGGAGCGCAGCGATCGAGGTGATGAACCACAGAGGACTCCGCGTCAGGTGCACCTAAACTTTGTAAAGTTGAGTGAGAAGCTCATCTGCCACCGGTGCGCTCACCCACGAGGGACGACGCGTTGGGAGATGGCTAAAACTTTGTAAAGCTTAGGAGGGAGCGCAGCGATCGAGGCGGTGACCCACAGGGGACTCCGCGTCAGGTGCGCCTAAGCTTTACAAAGTTGAGTGAGGAGCTCATCTGCCACCGGTGAGCTGATCCGAGGTGGATATGTCTGACGTTAAATGATTTGACAGGTGCTGCGTATTTTCAAGGTGACAGTTGGATGCAATGCTCATTCTCCTAAAAGGCTTCTACGGCTACTTATTGTTGACGGCTGGTGGTGACCGAGGTGACGCATTATATGTGAGCGTGAGGATCACAACAAGATCTTAGGCGAAGACCAAATCTAGCGTTTCATTTTAACGGCCTAGATTTATGGTGCGACGGACGGCCCAAATTAATTACATTTGAATTTGACGGTGGAGATTAGTTGGAATGCTCTATAAAAAGCGGAGTTGATCACTTTTGGAGTTTTTAACTCTTGCGAAAATAGAAAATTCCCTTGCTCTCAAATCTCTTT